CAAATGAGATGGATTGATAATATGGAGAGTCTGTGCATGGAGACAAAGTCTCAAGTCTGCCCCAATGGTTTTTCAGGTCAGAACCCTTTATTTCCATCGAGATGATGGATATTCTTGAACTTGAACACTTTTAAATTTACCATAATAAAAATTGTGTAAGTGTAAATACCGATGCGGTAACGGTAAGTTAAATTATTTGCCTCCTCTTCCCCCCCTTTTTAAAACAGATGGTTGTTTTATGGCATAGCAAAAATGATTAGTTCTTCTCAAACCAATAGGGCGCTTGATTGGTATAGACGATTAGTTTTTCTCAGACCAGTGGGTGCTTGTGGCCCCCCCAGCACCCACTTTGAGGTTTGTATTGTAACGAAATATTATTCATTCTTATTATTTTCTTGATAGCTTTCCCCCCTGTCCTATTATCTTTTGGCCCTCACAAGTTTTTCATAAAGTATTACGGCCTGCCTTACATTTTGAGTTGTGCAGGCCTGACATAGAAGATTAGTTCTTCTAAGATCAGTATGCTGCTTAATTGTCATGGAAGATTAGTTCTTCTAAGATCAGTAGGCTGCTTGATTGATATGGAAGATTAGTTCTTCTCAGATCAGTAGGCTGCTTAATTGACATGGAAGATTAGTTCTTCTAAGATCAGTAGATTGCTTGATTGACATGGAAGATTAGTTCTTCTCAGATCAGTAGGCTGCTTGATTCACAGAGAAGAATTCTAACAACTTACATTAGTTTCTTTCTTAACAAACTTGTCCTCAAGTTGCCATGATGGCAGATTCTGCCTGCTTGAAGTATAAAAAAAAATCACAATTTAAGTCAGCAATTTTTGAACAGCTTCATAAATTCATACCTACAACTGCTTTTATATTTCATTATGATAGTAATAATACTGGTACCAGTACCTAAAAAACTCATGTTTTGTGTTTGATTAGTAGGCCTATTATGTACAGTCTTTCCCCACCACATCACGGTTCATATTTTGCAGTCTCACTGCGTGGATTTTTTACTTCTAAATATCAAATTTGTATCGCTGATATTTTGCTAAAACGGTATCGTGAGATTTTGCACACCGCAAAATTAATATAATAGGTATTTTTATTTATTTATTTTTTTAAATTATTTTTGCGGGTCAGATAAGCATGCCTTTGTCTAAGAAACTAAAACAATACTTGTACACAAAAAAATTAATTAAAACACATTAACAAAACATTAAATCGAGAAAAAAAATGTAGCATACAGATGAGTAAACAAAGACATGCACATATGGAAAATGCAATTAAATCACTACTTTGCGGATTTTTTCTCATTATGGAGAGGGAGGGGGGATCTGGAACCTACCCATCGCAATAGACAAGGGACCACTGTATTTACATGAATTCAACTGAAGCAACAGAAGGCAGATGGAAGTGAGCATGTTAAAATAAGGTGGTTTTATTTATGACACCAATCATTAGGAGTCAAATATTGTAACCAACTATCATTTTTTTTTTGTTTTATTGGTCTTCACAGAAATTGATAGGCTATATTCTTATAGTGCTGATTATAATATGTATTCTTGAAATTCCCTTTCCAATTGTTCACCACGATTTATATGATTTGGTGAACAGATTGATATGATTTTTATAAGCTTCTAAGGTGCAGTGATCTCGGAACAAAAAGAAAATATTGCTCGATGTGATTTTAAACACAGTACAGTATCATTTTTATTATTATTAGGTCAAATGTGGGTTAAAGTAGAGATCAGAATTTACATTGGGGAAAAAAGTTCTGAATAGAAATTCTCACCTCTTGCGTAACACAGTAAATAGAGCTGCACCCTTCTGCCAGTCTGACACAGGCTCTTTGATAGTGGACTCACATTCAGTTTTTAAAAAGCTGCAATACAATGCAAAAATCAAGTGGGTTGATAATTTTCTGACGAATTTTGTCTTACAATTACAATTAAAAACTGATATCAACAATTTAAATAGGAAATAATTATAATTGTAAATTAAATTGACAGAAATAAATTGTAAATACGGGTATACTAGAATAACAGGCAATAATGAAAATTAAAGCTATAACAAAGGACAAATTCTGAAGGTAAACAAACTGCATAAAAAAACTGCCAAGTTTCCACTAGTCTCAATCAAAACTAGAAACTGACTAAGAAAATCAGGCAATGCCTAGAAGTAAGGCCTTGATCTGTTAGTTCACATTAAAATGGTTTGTTACCTCACATTAAAATGGTTTACCTCTCTGCCCACTGGAGGGCATCAGTCAGCTGTGACAGTCTCTGAGGTTCCAATTCATTTAACAAGTTCATTGTGCCTTCTAAAGTTTTTTTATGGACCTGTGAAAAGAAAATGAAGCTGTTTTTTTTGTTGTTTTTTTTTGTAGATGCTAAGTATTATTCCTTCTCTGTCTATTTTTATACATTCTGAGTAATAAATATTGTCCTGTCAATGTTTGTGTACATTCTAAGTACGGTAATACTCGTGTACTATAAATAAATATTTTTGTACATTCTGAGTAATAACTCTTGTCCTGTCAATGTTAATATTTTTTTTTACATACCTGTACTGATTGATACTCCTTTCGAGTCAATATTTTTTGTACGCTTTGAGAAACACTTCTTTCCTGTCAATATTTGTGTGCATATTGTGTGTACTACTCTTGCTGCCCTATTCATATTTTTGCCCTCTTTAGTGGACTAAAGTTGAATTCTTTATTTTCAGGAATATTTCATTTTGAAATGGTCTTATTCTCACTAATATTCAAAAGTGTAAAGTTAAATCTATAAAGCTTCACATTACATTATACTACAGTAACACTAAGCAATACCCATATGGACCAGTAAATAAAAAGAAGCAATGTAATTACAAAATACATGTATCGTATTAGAACAGTATAGTTGATTTTAAATATTACTCGGTACTATGGATTTAGACTGACCACAACAAGCTGTGTCAGAATGTCTGATGACTTACTAGGATGGACACGGATATAAGAGGGTGTGTCATGAACATGTCCAGCTCTGTCTGGGAAGTAGAGTTCTGTTTAACACTATTGTAGCTCTGGGGAATCAATAGGACAATCAGTAATTTTCATATCTTTAAAAAAAACAGAGAGTTAGAGCATTGCAAGCGTTAAGAATAATGGGTCATAATGATCTAAATATATAAAAGTACAAAGTGTTAGGGACTAACACCAACAGTGATAATTTAAGTTTCTCTTTTACCTGGATAATATAAACAGTGGCCTCAAGAGACAAATAACCACCTTTATTCAAGTTGGAATTCTGTGGATTAATTATGACATTCATTAGAAGGTATACTAACTAATGTGGTTAAAAATAGGTGTTTCCCAATCTGCAGTCTTTAAAGTTGTTAACTTTTTGGGAAAGGAGGTTGAAACTAAATGAAATATTTTAAAAGCTATTTCTACAACTAGAACCATTTAAGAATTACCTTAACGCTATTCCTAAAACGAGAACTAGAACCATTTAACAATTATAAATACCGCGTAGCACAAAAAATGATCACATGCGATTTGGGGTAAGTAAAAAAAAAAAAAAATATGTCAGAACTTACAGCAAAATACCTCACAATGGCCAGAGCTGATTCAATATGGGTCCTTGTAATCTTTTCTTGTGAAGAGTTACAAAATACTAAGTGTGCTGGGAGCTCTATTATAATTCTGGAGATATAAATGTAACTGTAAGTCATGAGAAATGAATTATTAACACAACAACATTACCCTTTTATTACCTAAATACATCACACTGCATATCCAGATCAGTTACCTCAACAATAAATCCATGTGCGCAAGAGCTCCAGGGAGACCTAATGTTGATGTCAGCCATAGATTCCTACCTTGGTCTGACCTGGGCAGCTGAAGAATGTGCTTCTGGACAATAAAAAAGGCATACAAATAAAGGTAGAAGTAAAAGTGTTCATGTTTTATAGGTAAATAACTGGCTGTTTAGACGAATGCAGAAAATGAGAGGGGGAGGGGGGGCATCAGATTTATCCTTGAAGCTTCAGTTGTTTTAAACTTTCAGTTTAACTCAGCAATTTACAGCAGCATAAAATACAAAGTTTCATCTGAAGCTTATCAATCTTGCATACCACTACATCTAAATTTAATGTAATGTTACTTTATCCTAGCTGGTTATTTTCTGAAAATATTTAACATAAAATAACTGTCAAGCTGAAGTTTACGTCAATGATTACTGCCTATGTAACCCAGACCAACCCATCCCCACTTATGTATTTGTAACAAAAATTTATCTTGCAGTAGTTTCACGTGACAGAGTTGAACCACGTATTAACACTGACACAATGGTCAAGCCACCTACCATAGATACATTTAATTTATTGACTGTGACCCTTCAACACATAAAATAATAAAAATTCTCACCTTTAAAAGATTGAGAAGACTTGCTGAACTTTCAGGAAATCTCTTCTGTTTGGCCCTTTTAGGACATTATAGGAGAAATATGAAAACAAAGAAAGAGATATAAATAGTTACGTTAAAACATGTAGTTGTTTAGTATTCCAGATGAAATATTGGCAATTTATCCGTACCCGGTACCGATAATCGGAAAAAAATCAAAATGAAATTTACTTTTTTTTTTACTCCTAAAATTACTCTTGTTCTAGTTTTAATAACTTCTTGTTGATGATACTGAATTCTTGGGCGTTCAATTGGTATAAATTATGTGTTTTCTAAGTCTTGTGATAACACTGAGACATGTCAAAAGTTTAAACAACACATAGCACTCACAACTGTTCTTCATTCTTCAGTCATGATAAACTCTGTCAAATTTTTCTCATTACAAAAAAAAAAAAAAAAAAAAAAAAAAAAAAAAAAAAAAAAATTAATATTTAAACAGCTTCGTGATGCAACCACTTCGAGAATCCAAACAATTTATTTTATTACAAAAAACAAAATATTATTTTTTAATACGGTAATTAAAATATGAAAATAAATAACAAATGAGATACCCTGAGTGTTTGGTCCCATGCTTGGCAAGGATGTGAACAAAGTCACTATAACACTTCGATGCACTGCCAGAATCTTGTGAAGTTCTTAAATACTGACAACTCATCTTCCACATTGCAGTTGCTCTGAAATCGCAACAATGCTTGTAGATGATGCTATTAGAATGGCTAGAGTGTGCAAGAAGTGTTATACACAACCCAATTATGCAATATCTTGTACCAGTATCATCATATCTAGCAAACTATTGTTAACTTACAAGCAGGTAAATGATTTGTACCGTATATATTTTCATCTTAACAAATTTCTTATAATCTAATTCCAAATAATAATTAAAATTATTTGCAATAACTCTGCTCTAACTTTATTTAAAGTCAGTTTTAAGAACATGATTATTCCACAGAATAATTTTAAGAAACATGACTTTATAATTTCTTTGAATAAATTACCTTTTGTTTCGTGATGTGTTGTCTCTGAATGAATCCATAGTCATTTCAAACTCAATCCAATCTTGTAAAGTTGGCTAATAGAAAAATTGTGTTTTTACTTGTATGAAAATTAACATATAATAAAATGTGATTTGAGTGAACGCATTTTCATTGATGTTGCAACTGCAACCATTATTATTATAGTAAGTAAAATTTCTTGATTAATATTTTATGATGGTGGAAAGGCAAAATATTCTTTAAAAAAGTTATTAATTAATTCCAAATGTTGGTACCTGGGTATAATATATTAAATAAAATCATATGTTAAAAAATTATTATTTTTTTAAATAGATGATAAACCTGATTTTTTTTACACAAATTCTCCCATCTTTGACTTGACATTAGAGTACCAGTACTACAAGAGGTTTCTTCTTCTACCAACATCTCATCACCACAGTAGCTTGAAAGGCTGAGACAAGCTTCACTGTTACCAAACCTTTGGTGCAATAAGATCAACTTGAAAAGAAAATAATATTTGTTATTAAACTGAAATATGTTACACTTTATAAACTATATTTTTAACATGGAAAAAACATCAAAACAGAAGATAGATTTTCCCTAAAAAACAAATCCCGTCTCATCAATGTCAATTTATGCAGTTTTGGTTCATGCTTTTCATCCCCACCCCTACTGTGAGAGAGTTTTCAAATGGCTGTCAGCAGCTTACTACGATTGTGGATGATTCAATGAATTTTTTTTTTATGTAGACCAGAATAGAAAAATTGGCAAAAACACAAATACAAAAGAGTTTATTATTTAAGCTTCACTATTTACTTGTTTGATGATGATTCCAGGTAAAATACAATCATCAGCTTTGGTTGGATCAACTAGACAAAGACCATCATCCTCTAACTTCTTGGCTTCACCATCCAAACAACTGAGGGCCAGGGATGCGTACACCAGCCAAAATCTGCGAGAAAATGAAAACTCAACGTTGTCAGAAATATACATCAGCCAAAATCTCAGATGAAATGCAAACTCAAGGTTATCAGAAATAAAGTGCATTGATTTGGCCATGTCTGACCAGCATTCAAAACAGAGACAGTACCCAGGTACCGGCACAAGAAAATATCAAACTGGTTCTTGTCATTAAATGTCTACATACCTGAGCTAAAGGCTTTGTTAAAAATGTCAAGATACTATTAATCCATTGTGCAAACCTCTAAGAAAAAACAGTTAGAGCTTAACTTAAGAAATCCATGCAGCTTATTTTATAGTGTAAAGAAATCTGCCAAAAATCCTTTATTTGAGACCATTACAATAAGGTCCAAATTTAAATTAATCTTACCTCCATACTTCAGAATATTCCAGGCAACTGTGGTGCACCAAAGATTCGATAACTGCATCAAATATGTTAACATAGGTGCTGGTCCTAGCAGGTGGTTTTAAAACCCTTCTTGTAATGATGACTTCTGTGATGTGATGGTTTATTGCTGTGTTAAGGAAAGCCCATGCTCTTGCTGAGAGCTGTGGTGTGGCATTGTGGGCCTGGGTTTAAAAAAAACAAGGAAATTAAAGGGAAAGGACATTGCTAAGTATGAATTACACATTACATTTTTTGTTGTAATGTTCAGATCTCCAAGATAGGTTGCACAGCAAGAAGAAATATATCATTAAACACCACCCTAAAGTAATTTGAAAGTTAATTTTAATTTTGAGGAGTTCCAATTTTCTTATTCTGAAACTTTTAAAAACAATTTAATTAAATGCACGTTTTTTTTAACTTTAAAATATTTATTTTAAGTCAAGGTAAAAATAACCAAAGGAACTGTAACATTTATTAAATTACAAAATTTCAAGGATATCTATCAACTTTTGAAAAACTGTAAACATTACCTTCACTTCAAAGTTTGCTATTGTATGATGGAGTAAGAGTAAACAGAAATTGGGGAGCTGACTGAGGACAGAGAAAAGTTTTTTCATTCCTTGTAATGTTTTTTTGTTGGGGATTCGGCTACATCCACTGGGAAGCAATTTGGTCATGTGGTCTAAAAGTGATTGGACAACCTGTAAATTAAAACAAACAATTTTTCAGGAGCAGAAATCCTATATGTTTTGTTACCGATATTTAAATTTTCGTATTTATATTGATATTTTTTTAATAAAGAGATATTTAAGATTATTTGAAATAAAGCTTATAGCAAGATTCTTAAACAGTTGAGAGACAGAAATGCACTGGTCCAAACACACAAGGTCCTAAAACAAGCTAAAATATTTTTGTGACGTGAAAAGCCGGCCTTGTAAAGATTAACTTAGAAGGATATAATTATTTTAACAGTGTCTGCGTGTAAGAGTGTTATTGTTAGATTTCATTAGGCCTACAAGCTGCATTCTATAAATTTGACCTGCCCCCAAAAATAAACCTCTTCTATATGTTGTCTCAAATTGCTTCAAGCATTCAAATACGACCATGCCTCAACATCTGACTGAATGGTGTCTCAGATTTTTTCAAGCATTCAAATACAACCTTACCTCAACATCTAACTGTTTTGGTGGCTTTGTTAAGTCAATGTGAATAGAAGAGATTTTGTGCACATCATCTTTTGTCTGTGGTAATGAAGGCTGTAGTAAGCCACTCAGTGTATTTACAATGGCATTCAGAATATCTGACACTTGTTGAATGAAGTATTATGATTGTTTATTAGCTAATATGACTTGCAGATAGAATTAGATCACATGCTTTTATTGATCCAATTACATTGTACATATTTATTTTAAGCATATTAAAAAAACAATTTTAAAAAAACAAAACATTCAGATAAAATATAAAATAATTTTAAATCATGATTGTTTCAATATAAGACATTTTTAAAGTGATGCTACCAAATATTTTTTAAACATTTTTTTAATAACTTTCTTATTTAACACCTGTAAGGAAAATAAGTTGATAATTGGAGCAGTTAATTACAGACACCAAACAGAAGTTTTAATGTAAATGTATGAATTTCAAAAATAAAAATTCTACTTATATTCACTACTGACTCTCAGAAATCAGAACAAGACTTCATTATAAGTTCCAGTCTTCAAGCACCGGGTACCGATTATAAATTTTTTTACTAATCAAAGATTAAAACAGTTTTAAAACTCTGATATCAAATTATTGAAGTTTAGGTGGCAATAGTTCAATGAAATGCTGTAAGTATATACATGTGTACCTTAGACTGTCTCTCTCTTTCTTATACGTAAGCTTTGATTCATAAGACACAATTTGGTTTAATTTGTTACAACAATTTTCCAAACTAGTCTGGCCTAATTTGCTATAACTCACAATTTCCTCATTCAATATTTGAATTAAAAAATGAATCAATTTATTGTTTATTTTATGGAAAATGCTAACTGATGCAGATAAAGTTAAAGCATACTTTTCAGTGAATATTTCTTGGGTAACTTCTATCTCATGCTGTTAAAGTTTACTGGGTATTTCAAGGGTAACCACCACCTGATGCTATTAAGCTTACTGGATCCAGCCAGTGCTCGACTTACGACCATGATCGGTTCCGACAGACCGGTTGTAACACGATTTGGTCGTAAGTTGAGTTCACTATGTGAACAGTTATGTGAAGTGATGTTATAAAAATATTTAAGTTAAATTATATCATAAATTTCTTTTATTATTGTTATAAATCATCATTTTCAATGGGAGATGGAGTTCAAATTTTCAAACTCTGAAGAGTTCTCCAATCAACAAGCTTTAGCCTGCTTAGGGAGGTCAACGGACCTAGGATTATTGAGTGTGACAGTGTTATTTCTTAGAAACTGATGACGCTGGCTAGCAGCATAGCATCTTTCCTCCCTTTCCTTAGTTAACGACCGCCAATGATTGCAGACAACGCCGTTCGACAGATAATTGCGGCAGAAATAAATCTGAAATCTAATATGGCTAGTGATTGTGGTCGTAAAGTCGAATGGTCGTAAGTTGCATAGCTCGTAAGTTGAGCACTGGCTGTATTTCATGGGTAACCATCACCTGATGCTGTTAAAGCTTACTGTTATTTGGATAGTCCATGAGTAACTGCTATCTGACACTTGGTGATATGCCTTACTTTTATTGGATTGTTCATTGTTAACTGCCTCTTGATACTTGCTAAGTTGAAGACAGAATTCTTCATTTGGAGACAGGGTCATGCTGTCTATATCATCACCATCATCATCAACATCAAACACACCTGAAACATTTTCATCAAGCCAACTTGAGTGATTCCAAACCTTCTCTGCTGACCCCCTACTAGAACTGGAAATGTAAACTAAGAATATATCAGCAGACACTATTTTTTTCTTAAAATCTATATTAAAAAATATACATATATAATTTGGTACAACTTAAATAACGTATATTTTGGTAGTACTAAAAATAAATGTAGGCAACCAGTCCCCCTTGCATTTATCCACCCCTGTTTATAGGTGAAAAAATAATGAAGAGGGCCACTCTTGTAAATGAGTCAGGCTACATGTTCCCTCCGCTATGGAACTCTGCACCAACCTTCAAGCAAGGCTCGTTTCTCCTTCTCACAGTCTTCCTTGTAGCGGTTGTAGAGTGACTGGGGAATCCGGCCAGATTTGTTGAGATCTTCTATGAGCTTCATTTTCATGTCTGGTACATCAGGGAGCTGTTTTATAAAGATTTATCACTAGGTCAGGGTATCAGTGGGAGAATTATCATTTGGTCAGGGTTCTAGTAATGGATTTCTCATTAGGTCAGAGTAACAGTGGTGAATTTATCGTTAGGTCAGGGTAACAGTGGTGGATTTATAATTAGGTCAGGGTAACAGTGGTGGATTTATCATTAGGTCAGGGTAACAGTGATGGATTTATCATTAGGTCAGGATAACAGAGTTGATTTATCATTAGGTCAGGGTAATAGTGGTGGATTTATCATTAGGTCAGGGTACCAGTGGTGGATTTATCATTAGGTCAGGGTAACAGTGATGGATTTATCATTAGGTCAGGATAACAGAGTTGATTTATCATTAGGTCAGGGTAATAGTGGTGGATTTATCATTAGGTCAGGGTACCAGTGGTGGATTTATCATTAGGTCAGGGTAACAGTGGTGGAGTTATCATTAGGTCAGGCTTCTAACTTCTAGTAGTGAATCTATCATTAGGTCAGGGTAACTGAAAAACTTATCAATTTAGATCTGGGTACTGTGGCGGATATATAATTAGGGGATGGTTCTAGTGGTCAGTTCATTAGGTCAGGGTAACAGTGGTGGATTTATCATTAGGTCAGGGTTACAGTGGTGGATTTATCATTCATCATCATGTCCCTTAGTCCTTGGCCCATAGGGGCACAAGAGATGACATGAAAACTATCCCCGTCCATTCCTCTCTGTTTTCTGCACTTCGCACAGCATCACCTAGCTTTAGTCCCATCCACTCTGTGATGTTATCTTCCCATATTTTTCTCTGTCTGCCTCTCCTTCTCCCCCTCTCATTGTGCCCTGCATGATTTCCTTGGGGAGCCCTTGTTTTCTTGTCACGTGGCCCTACCATTCCAGCTTGTGCTTTTTTAAAGTTCCCAGGAGGTCATCATACTGCCCAATTGATTGAACAATTTTTTCTTTGAGTTGTTCGTTTGAGATATGATCTCTATAGCAGATTCCAAGAATGCTTCTAAAACATCTCATCTCCATCGCCTTTTTTCTTTAAAGTTCTGCAGTTAATGTCCAGGACTCCCAGGTATACAAAAAAACTGAGAAGACTAATCAGTGCATCAGCCTGATTTATCATTAGGTGATGGTTCTAGTGGTGGATTTATCATTAGGTCATACTGCTATTGAGAGATTTTTTCAATTAGTTCTTGACGGATTTATAGAAAAAAAATTGTTTAAATGTTTGCTAAATTAAGTATTCTTATTTACATAAAAATTAACACAAGTCTAAATTTTGTTGACACTTACAAATCTTGGCTTTAACAGGGCAGGTAGAAACTTGCCTATGAAATACGGCTTGCGGAAAATGCTGTGGAGTGGGTTAAGGGAAAGGTGAATAGAATTAATAAATTTAAACATTGCTTAAACAGATCGAAACATGACTGCCATAACAAAAGCTTTCAAAATGAAGTAACTAGTTTCTGCACTTAACTTAATGTTGGGCATTAAAACATGTTGCCCATAAAAATAGTTTTAAAAATGAACTAGAAAATTTCAGAACTTAACTTAATGAACAGGTATTTCAATTTGCAGCAGAAGACTATCTTGAAAACAAGAATTATGTACCGGTACAGAAAAAAAATTATTACATTTTAAAAATTCTTCGTTGGTGTATTGGGGCCTTTAACTTTGTCGACTTTCATCATCATTTTGACTGAACAACAATCAGATGTATTCAACTTACATCATCTTAACTGAACTACTAACACTGTCACTCAGTCAATCTTTATCAATGTCTATATTATCAATAATATGCACCTGGCTTCATTGAGAGCAGTTGGAATTTTACCAGTATCTGTGAATGAGGCTACAGCCTTTTCCACATCTGTATCTGTAGGATCAGCAGTTTTCTATTGGAGAAGAAAAAACATTATTTATGCCTGTGAGTGTGTTATATATGTACCAAAAAATGACTAGTTTATATTTCAACAATGTCCACTCTATAGTTCAAAGCTTTACAAATATTTCATATAGGTGACACACTGTTTACATATTTTTGTAAGATGTCGTTCTGTGAGGCAATGATTCAGTTTTTGAATGCTTGCGTTTTAAATTCAAAAGCTGTCCAAGTAACTCTCTTTGTACATCGTTAGGTAACAGAGTCTGATAATCTATTTTTTTTTCTCATTTCAGTCCTCTTCTTCCTTTCTACTAGCCAGGGAAAAGTCTTTTAATTTTATTAAAACAAATGGATTAATGAAACAATCATAGTCAACGGTTTGAACATTTAGGATAAAATGATGAACATTCTTAAAGATTAATGTCAAATGTCCACAAATAGCTTGCTGAGAGAATATTTTGGCTCCCACTAAGCAGTTTTCAACAATTTCAAAATTCACTTCCATTATTTTTTCTTTTAAAAACTGCTCATCTGTCTCTTTTGGCTCACATTAAAGTGAACCACGATTTTAAAAAAGGGTTGAGAAATGCTGCGCTAGCACAGCTAATTGATCGACATGTTTACTGCTTTAGAATGCATGAAAGTTGTTACAGCTTATTTCCCTTAGACTCTTAACTTCCCCACACACCTAAACCCATCAGGAAACACACTCATGTGTCATGACTTAGTTTGGGAAACACACTCATGTGTCATGACTTAGTTTGGGAAACACACTCATGTGTCATGACTTAGTTTGGGAAACACACTCATGTGTCATGACTTAGTTTGGAAACACACTCATGTGTCATGACTTAGTTTGGGAAACACACTCATGTGTCATGACTTAGTTTGGGAAACACACTCATGTGTCATGACTTAGTTTGGGAAACACACTCATGTGTCATGACTTAGTTTAGGAAACACACTCATGTGTCATGACTTAGTTTAGGAAACACACTCATGTGTCATGACTTAGTTTGGGAAATACACTCATATGGGTTGACTTAGTTTGCGAAGCTCATTGCCATTATCCTTGTTATCAAATAAATGCACTAGTATACTATTTATTTTATTATTCAAATTCAAAATCACACCACATTATATATACAGACCTGTTTACCCTCAAACTCTTAAAATGGTACAATGTCATCACATAATCGTTCAATACATTCTCTTTATGGAAAAAAACGTGCAGTATATATTTATTTATTTAGGCATTTTTATACAGCGCTTACCTTAAAGCTCTAAGCGCTTTACAATTATTAAAAACATGTAAACTAACTAGAATAAAAATGAGACATTGGATAGTAACTACTATACTATAGAAACAATTAAAATGGCTATAAAAAGAGGACATTTTGGCACGTTTTGGCCTATACTACAGGATTAACCCGAGACAGAAAATGAGGCAGGGCAAGGAGGGTGTATCACATTTCATAGGCGGACCTAAATAAATGGGTTTTAAGGGACTTTTTAAAAGTAGACGAGGTTTCACAATAACGGATATGGAATTGAGCTGGTTCCAGAACGTGGGCCCATGGAAGTAGAAGGAGCGTTCACCGATGGTTTTGGTTCTTGGGATTGAGAGGGTTCTATTGTCAATGGAAGAGCCTAATTGTCTTGTGGAGATAATTTATACACCTCAAAATCGTGCATTGTACGCAAAAATCGTAAGAGTAAACAGGTCTGTATATAGCCCTAAGATTATAGATGTTACCAGCATTCTATTTTATTTTGTGGATTGTTGGCTTACCAGTTTTTCACTAGTGGTAGGTTTGTTTGTTAGACCATCATAGATTCCCTCAAATACATCAAAAAGTGATACCTATAGGAAAAAAGAAAACAGTTTTATTTAGTGCAAATAGAAACTCAATACCATAATCTTCTTACCAAGATAACACACAGACATACTAATGATAATTACATCAAGCTACTCACTCCTAGGTCCTTAAGTCTGGTTTTGGCCAGAAAATTGTAATCATCATAAAATCTATACCATGATCTGTCTACCAAGATAACACACAGACATAACTACATCAAACTACTCACTCCTAGGTCCTTAAGTCTGGTTTTGGCCAATGAAATGTAATCCTCATAAATTTCTCTTGTTTTGGTTGTCAATGCAGGCTTCTTGATAATGTGGGCCTGTCAAGAGAAAATGTGAGCCTGTCAAGAGAAAATGTGAGCCTGTCAAGAGAAAATGTCAAGAGAAAATGTGGGCTTTTCAAGAGAAAATGTGGGCCTGGGCTTGTCAAGAGAAAATGTGGGCCTGCCAAGAGAAAATGTGGGCTTGTCAAGAGAAAATGTGGGCCTGCCAAGAGAAAATGTGGGCTTGCCAAGAGAAAATGTGGTCCTGCCAAGAGAAAATGTGGGCTTGCCAAGAGAAAATGTGGGCTTGTCAAGAGAAAATGTGAAGAGAGGAAACAAAAATTATTATTCTCTAATAAAAAAAAAAAAAAATAAAAAAAAAAAAAAAAAAAAAAAAAAAAAAAAAAAAAAAAAAAAAAAAAAAAAAAAAATAAAAAAAAAAAAAAAAAAAAAAAAAAAAAAAAAAAAAAAAAAAAAACTTCAATGGAGACTTGGACAACAATGGTCATAGTCTCTAACAACACCTTTTCAACATTAGAACAAATTTACGGCAACCTTTACAATGAAAGCCACACCATAAGAAATCACCTTCAAATAATCAGCTGATTCAAAAGGGACAAGGCCAGACATGAACTTGATCAGAGATGTGAAGACACGCCTGGATGCTGTCAGTGGATTATTGCTGCCAGACAATAGTGACTGTATGGGAATAAACAATGAATTACACAGGCACTGTTTAAGTACTGAGTGAATCAAAAGTAAAATCTAACGATGTTAAAAGATAAGTGGATTTTGCAACTGATAGCCAATTGATTATACAAAACAATAATAATTTTTTTTAATGTTGTCATGATTTTTTTTTAAATCCTAAATTTTGAAAATAATAATGTAAAAAAATTTTTTTTTTAAACTTAAATTCTAATAAACACAATATAATCTCGAAACTAGGCACTCGCTTCGCGTGTCAAGCTGTCAAGCCACATCAAATGTTTCCAAAAATAGATAAATGATACTTGTGGCAGCCTTTTCTTACAGGTGAGTATTCTGCTATAGATATCTAGTAAAAAGTTTTCAAAAGTGCAGCTGGCATTATCGCAGGTGACTTGTCATAAATATAGGTTTAGTGCTGGTACCAAACTGTGTTAAAATGAGTCGCATTGCTTTTGTAATAAAAGGCTTCAACTGCTGCTTTCAATCTTGTAAAATATGTTAATCTGCACTTTTTATGTGAACCAATTGCAAATGAATTGTAAAAACAGATAACCCAAATTTTCAAAAAGCATTTTTAAGAACCCTAGTAAAAACTTATAAGAAGACATCCTGCAATTTAAAAGCTCAACCTAAAGTAATCCACAAAAAACTTAACGACAAAGTCACATGTTAAAAGAAGTGAACCTAAGATTTCACTTTCAACATCTAAAAAATAGTTCAAGAGCCAATTAAAAAAAAAAAAGTTTTTTATCATTGCCAGAGAAAACTATTTTAAACTGACCTCAAACCAATGCTCATAGCTCCCAAAGGTATGCTGACCCACCGCTGCACTCTGCCTAGCTATTAGAAAAGCTTTTGACATGATCATGTCGTCACCACTTTCAAGGCCAGCCACTAATGTTTCACTGATAAAATCTTGTTCAGATAAAAATAGAAGATGAAAATAATTAAACTGTTCTACTTTAATAAAATGTCTCCTCCCCCCCAGCACTCTATGTTTTTTTAATGACAGCAAAAATAACATTTTAACAATTTAAACATTCATTTATTATTTTATTCACAGATGTTTAGAAAATTAAATAAACTGGCACCACATTTTTATGAAATGTCAGTGGTTTGAAATATTAATAACATTTAATTATTGAAGGTCTTTAATTACATTGGTCTTTTTCTTAAAAGTAACAGAAACATGGGAAGAAGGACACATGGGGAGGGAGATGCATGGGGAGGGGGGAGATGCATGGGGAGGGAGACACATGGGGAGGGAAATTATCAAATGGGGAGGGAAACTCTAAACATTGTGACTGAGACATGTGGGTAGGGTGACTAAAAACATGGGGAGGGAGTCTTTAAACATGGGGAGGGAGACACATGGGGAGAGAGACACATGGGGAGGGTACACATGGGAAGAGAGAAAAAAAGGGGAGGGAGACACATGGGGAGGGAGACACATGGGGAGGGAGACACATGGGGAGGGAGACTCATGGGGAGGGAGACACATGGGGGGAGACATATGGGGAGGGAGACATATGGGAAGGGAGACAAAAGGGGAGGGAGACTAATGGGGAGGGAGACTAATGGGGAGGGACACACATGGGAGGGAGACTAATGGGGAGGTAGATTATAAAATGGGGAGGGAAACTCTAAACATTGTGACTGAGACAAGTGGGGTGTGACTAAAACATGGGGAGGGAGACTGTGTAAAGCTATATTACTTCCAAACCTTTGATAAATCCTGCAGCATCTAGGAAAGCAATGTACATGACAGACATGAAGATGAGGGTTGAGCTGCTGTTGACTTCCTGATTATCCAAGGAACGAATCAGAATGTCAGGGACTTCCTTGCAGTTGAGTGATGAAAACAACTGGTGACAGTCATATGAGTAAATCAATCAATCATCAAACAATATTTTATCAACACAATGAAAATAACTACAGTTAAGCTCATTAGAGACAAGCATCACTTTTGTACCGATTTTTACAGCTTGTTAACAAAGAAGAGGGGAAAACTTATGTAGAGATTATTTTAAGAACAGTGTATAGTTAGAATATGGTGTGAAATTGCTGCACGTCCATTGTATGCTTTGGTATGTGTGGAAGCATCCTAGGAGAAACTTGTGCAATGTTTGTTGTCAAGTGAGTGTGATCAACTTTTGTTGTTATGGTAATGTATGGAATGTTTGTTGGATAGTTTTAAAATAGAAATAGTCAGTAGAGCGGAAGCAACCTTTTGAGCAGGATCATAATGTAGAGCAGAATGAGATTTGTAGTACTTGGTATTTAGTTCCTGTAGAATCCTTGGTGGTGAGCTGCACCGCAGTTATTTGTAATATGCAATGCATGATCATCTAGTATTAGATCGAATTAAATACATAGCTTTCAGGTAAGTTGTGTTGTCTTAAATTGTTTGGTTGTCATGTGGAACACTGAACATAGTCACCATCCCACAGAAAAGTGGTGCCCAACCTTTCTTTTTCCCATACCCTTTGATAAGACTTTTCATTTAGAAGTGGAACACACCCCCCCCCACCCCCCACTAAAATATAGGTTCTCATAAAAGAACACGGTTTAAAAAAAATGGAACTTCTTTCCAGTTTTCCCGCCATCATCAATATATTTTTGCGCACCCACGGGCCGCCCACCATGAACCACCCACTACCCAATGGTGAACATACAGAGCTCTTACAAAAGGGAGACAATGTATGATAAAGTCATCTTACAATGAAATAGCTGTGCCGACTTGCATTTATTTTTTATTTTATAAATTCCACAATATTTACAAGTATCCAAAGTAGAAGAATTATATTGTCTGCCCACATGTTAAAATAAAAGTAAAAGTCTCAATGTCACTCCTCCATCAGATTAGCTATAGGTTACACATATTTTTAGCCTGCACTTGCTCTTTACTTGAGTAAACAGTAAACGTATGTGTACAACTGTAAAAGCTCCACAAAAAAACAACAAGACTTGCCTGGGTAAACAAGGTTCTCAAAACTCCAAATGTTGGCACAGTTTTCCAGTCTGTTTTTGATGTGAGAATTTCAGAAACTGAAAAATAAAAAACCACCAACAACCACTGTACACAAGTCACTAACATCAAAGGTATCTGGCAATATTTTCATATTCTATGTTCAGGTGACAAGAGTTAATTAGTCGTTCAAAGAAGCTCTTAGACAGAAAAAAAGGTTGTCATTGTAAAAAGTGGATTCTCTGTGTGAAATTTTGTTCAGCCTAATCAAGACCATCATATGGTATCATTTTAGCCTTAAGTACACATTGTTACATTGCCCCTGAACAGTAAAAAAAAAAATCAATGTAAAAAAATGTAATATGGTAGTCCACAGAAAAATTCACATTCCTCGATCCTTCATCTACCTATAATGTAACTTTGTTGATGTAGGGAATCTGAACAGAAAATTTTTAATTCAAAATAGATAGATAAATAGATAGTTACCAGGGATAGATAGATATAGAGATATAGATATATGAAAAAATTAACAGTGCATTCCTTCATGCCTGTCTGATAGGTTTCAGCGGCAAACAATCTTGCTTTTTTTAAAAATATATTGTATCCTGCACTCACAACTTGTGTCTCTTTTATAGGAAAGAATATGTAACAATGCATGACTGCTGAATTTTCTCAGAGTCTCTTCTGTAGTATTTTCTTGTGTCGATAAGAAGGGCAATGCAAGGCTGCCTTTGTCATCTGCTGCTTCTGATAATTCCAAAGTAGCTGAAACACAGGGTACGGAAATGAAACTTAAATTAATAGAAAGATATTGACATGCACATGACATCGTGAAATCCTATTTCAATTTTCAAAAAATACATGGAACTTATGTTAAACAAATAATAGATGTTTTCTGATAATGCTAAATGTTTTTCTATTAAATAAATTATTTTCTGTAGAAGCCTAACCTTTTATAGCAATTTTGTTTCATTAATTTTAAATGAATTTTTTTTTAGTAATTAAGCTTACCCATTATCACAGCATTCAGGACTTGCATAAAACTCTGAAATCAAGAAAGGACACAACATCAGAGTAAAGTGTTAAAAGATAAAGTGAAAAAAAAAAACTGAGTTAAAAATTAGTAATAAAACTAATTATAATTAATAAAGTAAAGAAATACTGGAATTGGAGAGAAGTATTAAGAAACTTACATGGCAGTTGTCAATTCAAAAATAAATTGAAAAATTATGTCAGAAATAGGATATTTTAATAATAACGGTACTTATCTGCGGTTTGAATAGGATATTTTAAGAAATGTATGAATTCAAGAAGAAAAAAAATCTAAAATATTACTACCTCTTTATTTATTCCTTTGTAAGAAAGTTTCACATCACCAAATGATTTGTTTACAAAGAAACTGATAAAACCTGTTTGGAAGAAAATAACAAAACTCTAAAATAATTAAATGACTGTGCGCTGAAGAAGGCTCTAGGCTGAAACATCCTAATCTTTTTGTTCTGTTCTCAAATTCAAGCTTTCACATACCTTGTTTTTCTATAACAAAACTCTACTAGACTCTATACCTTCCTTGACAAAATAAAACTTGATCATACACAAATTTTTTTACAATATAAAAATATTCATTGCTTTCATTTTTTCAAAACTCTTTTAATATAAATATAAGTATAAACTATCAGTAAGTATAATAGCATTTTTTTTTTCCACCTGACAAGATCTGTTGCCTTCTCTGCAGAGTTTCCTTTGTGCCTTGACATAATGAGACCAGGTGCTTGGAGAACTCAGACAACAAGGTAGAACTCGAAAATTTACTGAAAAATAATTACATTAGCGAATTAATTTTTTTTATGTAACCAGTCACTAATGTTTTTAGTGAATAAAAATGCCTCTAAAGCTTTATTGATACCGGTAATTCTTTACTTAAGAACTGAATATAAAAGGGTTGGACTGCGATAAAGCATTTAAGTAGATTTATGAGACACAAACAAGATCAGAGCTGATGAGCTGTAAGAGCAAGTAAGGATCAAATTTAAAAAGGTTCAGGTTCCTCAAAGACTAAAAACATTTTTAAAAAATTTTTTTTAAACTTATATTTTCTGTGTCATTGGAAGATTGATATAAAATATATATAGATGTGCACCATTAGAAATGTGTGCATTCAACTCAATTTTAATATGAGAAATATCTCTGATTTCTAGTCAATGTTACAAAATCTACAAATCAATTTCTGGTAAGTTGACTATGAATATTTCAAGTGTTATCAAGGATTGTTATAAATACTCCACCTAGTAATGTAAGTCTGCAAAGTTAATATTTCAAACTTGTGCAAGTTCCAAATGATCTCCAGGGGTATCTCGTGCTGAAAGATAAATGATGTAGATTTTGATAGGTAAAATTGTATTCTTTGCCCCTTGCCAAAGGCCCACCCAGATTTTTGTAATGGAAATATTAATTTTATTGCATGGTTAAATTTAACTTTATAAATAAAAAAATAGAATGCCAATTGATCCCTCATACTCTTTTCAAGTAAATTATATTCATAACATTTTCTAAAATCACTTACAACTTATGTAAAACAAATTAGTAGAACATGCGTCAATAAAAACCCAACTTTAACATAAGCTAATTATTTAAATACTTATCTTATTTAACTAATGGGATAAAGTTTGAGTTTTATTTTTAAATATTTCACACTTACTATTATAAATAAATGCATGATATTTACCCTCAACACCATTGAAGCAAACAGACTGACATCAAACGAGGAATCTTTTGTTTGTGATGCCAAGAGGCCTAAGCAATTTTTAAACTTCTCCTTTCAGTAGAATAAAAGAATTGCTCAACATAGGTAAGCATAATAGTATGTTAGGATTTCTTTTTTAAAAGTGAAGTAACAAATGATGCAGATGAGTTAAAAGCTAGTATAAAATTGTAAGAAATTACAAGATGCCACTCAAACTAGTTTTTTTTTTAAACTGTTTTTAAGTTTTAATGATTAGTCTTAATTCATGTGAAAACACACATAAAATGCAACAATTTATCATAAACACTACCTGACATTTTGATTTGTATACAACCTTACCTCTAACACATGATCTAATAACTGGCCACTACCTGGTGGACTTTCTCGTGACAGGTCTATTATTAGCTTGGCCAATTTAGGCGTGGGAAATAATATCCTGGATCCAAATCCATTTTTAAATATTGACAGCAAGCTGTCCACTGTTAAAAGAAATCAATAAATACCAGAGAATATAAGCAATCAAAGCCAAATAATTTAATTTCCTCTTCATCAATCAATAATTTATTTGGGTATAAATACTTTTAAAATGTGTGTTCTTATTTGCTAATACCGGTACTAATAAACATTTTATAGAATTATTAGTACTTGGACTTCATCTACTCTAAACAGTGTGTAGCAATAAAAGTACATTTCTTCCTCTACTTTTAATCAAGGATTAAATTTTATGCTTGCCTAATGCTCACTAATAAAAAGTGCTTGAGACACATAAATATTTTGTACTAAATACAATAAATTATCTCTATCTTTATTCTTATTTATTGTTTCTTTCAAAGCAATAAGAACACGCTTTACGTAATTCGAAGTAATTGTTGAACCCTATTGATCACTTAAAATTTCACCTGTGATTTGAGGTCCTGCAACACCTGCCTCAAGTTTAAGCTTCTTGGATAAAGAACATGCCTAAACAATAAAGAAAATGTTACCATCAGAAATGTAGCTCTTTCTTAACCTTTACTTTTCTGTCTTGTTGCATTCAGGTCATTTAATATTAACTGTGCACTACAACTACAATTAACAAGTGAAGGGCTCAAGGGAAAAACCAGTAGTGATGTCAATTGTTGTTTTTTTTCATTTTTAAGTTATCTTTAGTCTTCATTGTAATGAATCTCCAGATTTTAAAAAATATAATAATTCTTTTTAAAACACACACATGCGTATAAATAAATGCCTGGATGAATTCTAAAAAAAAAATAATAATTCTTAAATAATTTTTTTTTAAAATCAGATTTACATTTTCATTCAGTCTAAACCTTGTTATTGATGTACAGATAGACTGATGAAATCATGAATATAGAAATCATGGGCAATTGTTCTAAACCACATGAAGCCTTTGTTAGTTTATACTCTAGATTTCAGCTAGTATTTCTACACTACGAAATATTTAGTTTCACATTACTGCAAAATCCATTGAATTTATGGTGCAGTAGGTAGTGCACTTATTTTGGCAGGCATAAGTCTCATAAGAAAATTGAAAAAATAAATTTCTTGACATCAGTGTTACCTCATTAAAGACCAAGTCTTCATCAAGGGTTGAATCAATCATTTGCATGGCAGCATTGAACAAATCCACTTTATCATCTTCAGAAAGCATTTTCTATTTTACTAATAAATCTGAAACAATTAACATCAAGTTTTTTAATAATGGTAATGCTTTTTCTGTATCCAATTTTAAATTGAATGCATACAACCATGATATTGTTCTGGATTTTTAAAAATTAATTAACATCAAAGAACAAAAGTCCCAGTAGTAATGCCTGGCCTTGGCAGTGTTGTTAGATGCAATCGGTTGTAAATAAATAATGTCCACTTAATTAGCTGTAAAAATCCCAATCCTATTTGCAGGGTTCAAGGATTATGTGAGGCCATGTGGTATGTGTATGTAGATAGGCATCTCGAGCACATTGGGATGCATTAGTAGCCAGGGGGTGGGAGGGGTGGGGGGTAGGTCACACAAACTCAAATAATGCGACCATGCCATGCTATTAAACAAATCCAATTTTATGGACCCTTGTAACGAGGTTGCATTGTATTATAATATATGTGTATGATTAAACTTATACATGTATTTCTATAGGCCTAAAATGCTTAAATAGCCTGCAATAAAAAGGCTAAATTTTAAATATTTCTTATATTATATATATCTTGCTTCTGATGTGTCCTCCCTTTTCAAAATCGCCCACCCTCCAATGCCAGATGTTTTATATTAATTTTACTGAGTGAAAAGAAGGTTAAGTGAAAAAAAGAAAGCTCTGTTCATATCAGTGGGTTATTTCTTGACAGAAACGGTTGAAAAAGCAATGCACTCTCAATATGACATTGACATAGGGCTGTAGATTTCGTTGCAATTATAGAAAATGAGGAGTTAACCCTTTTTTTGTAACTTTTAAACCCACCAGATATTTTCTCAAAATACCCTGACCCAATGTTAAAGAGCTGCACCAGGTTGAGACCTAATATTTATTATTGTTACAAGTAATAACAGTAAGTTAAAATACAAATTCTATATAAGATATTCATAGTACTATAGTCAATACATTTCTGAATTTAACATTTAAAGGGTTCCAGTTACAAGAACTTATGTCATACCCAATTCTTTTGATTTAGTTAAATAAATTATAATTTCAGTTTTTTCGGAAAAATTAAAAAGCAAAAAGGGCACACGGGATCTGGGCAACCTTATAAAATAACTAGTACTAGTAGGGGTCTAGATTTTAATTATAAATTAATATTATAATAACAAATATAAACAAGCCTAACTACGGGTAATACTAATACTGTACTGCTGTACTACTATCAAAAGGAGTTAAGTTTCATTAATCTGATCAGTGATATAGTATGATATAGACATATAATTATTTAAAGTTAAAGTTAGGCTAGGGTGACCAAATCGTGATTTGGAAAAAACGGGACGCTTTCAGGGACAGTTTTTTTTGGCGGGGGGGGATGCCCTCCAGTTAAAGAGGGTTCCGGGGGCCTCGGCCGGGAACTGTTTATTGAAATATGCTCATTTGAACTATGAAATCTAACCTAGAAATCTACTTGGGGCATTCAGTCTTTTCCTATGTTTCACTGATGTGATGTGTTGTTTTATGTCTGAACGTCCAACATGACCAATACTAAAAACATTATTGCAAACTGTGCACTCGGCTTCACTTTCATAGCGACCCTTTTTAATATAGTTCCATGTTTTGGAATACTCATCCATAAACTTACATTGACGCTTGGGCATAATTATTGTTTACATGAGAAGATAATATAAAATTAAAGAATAAAGTTCAACACCCAAAACAAACACCTGTCACTCTGACACGAACAGGCCGGTAGGGATCACACATAAGACTAACACATTACACGTAGAGGTGGTGGAATCAAAATTGTTTTCTGCACAGTTACATCCTACCCCCACCCCCTGCGGCTTCAAGTCTCATGTCTTTCGCTATACATTTACATATAAGATATATGGCAGGGACACTGTGGTGGAGAGGGAATGGTGCAGCCATCACACGAGCCCACATCACTACTGGCACTGGCTAAAAAGCTAGCCAAAATATTATTTGAAGTTATATTATAAATTAGGAAGCTTTAGTGATTAGAAAATGTGTTTGGTTTAAAAAAAAGAGACATTTAGTATTTAGACGTCCCGAGAGACTTTTTCGGGACAACGGGTACGATCGTGAAAAAACGAGACAATCCCATTTTTACGGGACATTTGGTCACCCTAAGTTAGGCCCACTAGAACTAGAGGGGGAAGAATAAGATCAGGTTAATTTAACTTAAGAAATTTAAGAAATATTATGTCATTTATGTGTAGGTTCAGACTCAAAAATGTTATACTTAACTTAAGTTTAAGTAGTAGGCTAAGTCTCAGACTTTTAACCAGGACCAGTCACTTGAGTAACATCTAGGTCTAGACTCTACTACTACTACTAATTACAATTAATGATTAAATTACAGGTAATAAATAATTTTTAGGCTGATTGAATTAAGCTTAATATAACTTAACATAATTATAAGTAGGCTTTGGCTTTAGTATACCAGCATTGCTTTTTTAACCTATTTTTTTAGGCTATTAACTATTATTTACTGAATTACTTAAACGTACATCTAAGTTGCAGTTCAGGTCAGTGGTGGGAAGCTAATGACAGCATAAACTCGGTAAACCTAATTTCGTCTCTTTCGAAATTACTGGATGAGATGACGAATGACGAATGAGCTTGTTGCGAAATTTCACTATTTTAAACTGTTTACTCGAAGTGCGACTATTGGGACTGGCTGTATAAGTATAAGAACTTAGAAATTAAGAAATAGACAGACTGAGACTATTAATTTAGAAGTATTTGATATTAGTAATTGTAAAGTTTAAGTAATGGTAATTATTAATTAGAGTAATATTAGTATACTTGTTCTTATTAACGGAGAAGTAAATGAATGATGCATGAATGGGCATTTCAAATTTGAACAATTTTAATTTCGGTACATTACAAAAAGGGAGATGATCCTTCCTTTTTTTTATTATTTGCTTTCAAATTTTAACACTTGATTTCGCAACTGAGTACAAACATAAGTCTAAAAATAACTTGGGGGCGACCCGTATACCAACACAAAAAAATATTACAATCATTCGGTAAAGGTGATACCCACAAACAACCTTAATTGAAATTGTCACTGGTGTTTCAGGATTCATAGCCTTGTCATAGAGGCTAGAGGTATCGGTAAAGTTGTTTTTACTAATAATTATTGTGGGTGACGGATGAGATACCGGTAGTTAAAATTTATGGTTCGTTAATTAGTCAACCCTCTAGCTGGCTATTTTACTATATTTTTGTGGACGAAGTATTGCTTTTGGTTAAGTTAATGTATGTTGTATACTTGTTCATTTATTGATAATGAATCGTGTTATGATATGTGTGTTATTTAATTTGAATTATAAGTCTGCTCAATTTTACTTTTAAGCCAGTTTAAAGGGTAAACCGTAGTAATATAAATATAATACGAAGTGGCTATTCGGACCCTGAAAAGAGTGAGAGTTGAGAGGTTGGGTTTATTAAAAAAATATTTAAAATATTATTTTTGAGTTTTCAAGACAAAATTTGGTAGTTATATGTTTGTAAACTTACTTCTTCGGTTTAACTAAAATAAACTACCACAAATGACATCCGAATAGCATTTAGTCTAAAGGGACCCTGGTCCAAATAACAGCTACTGTTTTTGTGTGTGCAGTGAGTCAGTGAGTGTGTTATAATCATAAGGCCCCACCCTTTTAGAGCCTTTTTCCCTTGTGTGTTTTTGTTGATCTCTTCTAAATAGCTTAAAATTAAATCGCACAAATATGCCAGGATTGCTAGGTTTGCAAGGATTCAGGTAGTGGTACGGCTGGCAAAGTCTTCCCTGCTATTTATATAGGTCATAGGGACTCCCTATGTCCTATGTTTATATAGTATAGTTATAGTTCCCTATTTGTTTGTCTGTTCTTCTCTTATCATTAACAGATGAACACATTAAAATTAGAAACCACAATTTTGAAAAAGTAAAGCAATTAATGAATTAAAATACCTAGGATCTTTATTAAATGAAAGAAAGGAATTACTAACAGAAATACAAGATAGAATATCAGCCGGAAACAGGGCATATTTCAGTATTCCGAAAATACTGAAAATTACAAACATTACAAGAAAAAGAAAGAGAACTACTTATAAAACTGTAATCAGGCCAGTTGTAAAATATGCAAGTGTGATGTGGATCCTAACAAAAATAGCAGAATACCTTTTGAAAGATTGGGAGAGTACCGTCCTCCTGATAATACATGGACCAACAAAGGATGAATATGGATGGAGAATACGAACCAACCAGGGATTATATAGTCTATATCCAACGCTAGTAGCAGAAATAAAAAGGGCAGGCTACGCTGGACACTTAGAGAGAATGCCTAATGACAGAGTTGTGAAGATGGTGCACCACCAAAACCCTAGAGGTAAATTGCAAAAAGGCAGACCTAGGCTTAGATGAATGGATGTGTAAAAAGACCAACAGCATCTGGGAATTCAAGCATGGAAAAGAAAAGCATCAGTTAGTTCTGAGTGGAAGGAAGTAGTGAGGCAGGCCAAAGCCCTACATGGGCTGTAGTGCCACAGGGAAGGATGGAAAGTTCCATATTTAAAATATTAGGATTTTGAGCTCTATACTAATTTGATACAATTTTCTCTCACCCCACAAAACCTTTTTAAATATTTGTTATTTCTGCCTTGAAAGTGTGGAGAAAGGCACTATTAGTACTACCACCAAGCATTAGTGTTAGTAAAATAAAATTGTTTATTCTATAAATTTTAATATTATAAAAATTGATTTGTAAATTTAATAAATTTCAGACTTTGACATCTAATTCCACATCGCAAATAATGTCACAGTACAGACATCAATACCCACAGCAAGGTAAAAATTAATGATTATTAAATGTGTTAGGCCATATGATTTAAAATATTTGAAATTAGTTTTAATCGTGTACCCATTCGTTTTTAAAGTAAGTTGACAGTTATGTTGAGGTAAACATTCATGTATGCGTAATTTGTTTAAAAGAAATTTGTTTGATGGAATTTGTTTGAACAAAAGTTTCTTCCAGATGAATTTTGTAAAAAGATTTATTTAAGCTTTTAGATAAAAGTTTATTTTTGGCATTTTTTCCCAATTATTTAATTTTGAACCAACTTCTGTTCTAATTCCTGTTCGCACAATTTTCCATAAAAAAAAAAAAATTCTATTGAACAAAGTTCCAGTAACCAAACATTCATGGCCTCTGTACATGAACTGCATTTGTATCTGAATATTGTTTTTTAATTGTGATCTTGATTTCAAATTGTTTGATCCACCAAACATTGTCATGGTTGCAATATGTGAACATACATATTTTCAATAGCTATTTATTACCAGGATCAGTTCAAGTTGACCTATGATTATTGCATGTTTTTTAAAATGAAAATTGATGTAGGGATTTTATTTGTGCTACATACTAACATAACAAGATCTCATTGAGAGAGACAGATCTAAAACACATGAGTTAATTTTATTTCTGCCTTGAAAGTGTGGAGAAAGGCACTATTAGTACTATTATTATTATTATAGATACTTTATAAACATTTTTTGAGATTAAGGCCAAATGAGGATCAAAATTAATTGCTGCATGTTTCCTGGTTGCTCAGCAATTGATCTCTTGAAAAATAATTATATTTTAATGTGGCTGGAATATTTATTTATTTATTTATTCAGGCATTTTTATATAGCGCTTACCTTAAAGCTCTAAGCGCTTTACAATTATTAAAAACATGTAAACTAAGTGAAATAAAAATGAGACACTAGGATAGTAACTACTATACTATAGAAGCAATTAAAATGGCTATAAAACGAGGACACTTTGGAAATGATAATATCTTTGTTTAATCCGCCAAATACTTCATTCTTATCATTTAAGTGTTTAGACCTTAGGCTCTCAAAGAAGCATTGGGTTAATTTAAGCCACCAAAATCTGGGTCATTTCTCATGATTATATGCTGAAAATTGTTTATACTAACTATCAAACAAACAAGAAATTGTGTTTATAAGCTTCACTCATTTTATTTAAATGAGACTAGAACTTCATACCTTCAGAATAGAATATCATAATGTATGTATATATATATATATATATATATATATATATATATATATATATATATATATATATCTGTTTTTATCTCATTAGTGCAATAACAAAATACCGCCCCTGGTTTGTTCCCTATACATTTTAATATATATATAATTTATTTTTTTTATATAAATATATATATATATATATATATATATATATATATATATATATATATATATATATATATATATATATATATATATATATATATATATATATATATATATATATACCTGTTTTAATCTCATTAGTGCAGTAACAAAATTCCGCCCCTGGTCTGTTCCCTATACATTTTAATATACTTAATGATTATTTTTTTTATATAAAAATGTTCTTAAAACAGAAATTGAAAATATAATATTTGTCTTCAGCCGGAATTATCTTTGATTTAAAAAAAACAAACAAATGTAAGTTATCAGGTGTTATGTGCTCAGTTTAAAATCAAACCCAAGAATTAACATTTCATTTTGTTAAGCAGGTCAGCCTCCAGGCCCTTATCCTGCCCAAGGTCAAGCACCATACCCAGCCCCAGGGCAAGCACCAGCCCCAGGGCAAGCACCATACCCTGCTCAAGGTTATGCACAATATCCTGGCCAAGGTCAATATCCTGCCCAAGGTCAGGCACCACATCCTGCCCCTCGTCAAGCCCCAGGCCAAGCACCATATCCTGCTCAAGGTCAAGCACCATATCCTGCACCAGGTCAGGCACCATATCCTGCCCAAGGTCAGGCACCATATCCTGCCCAAGGTCATGCACCATATCCTGCCCAAGGTCAGGCACCATATCCTGCCCCTCGTCAAGCCCCAGGCCAAGCACCATATCCTGCTCAAGGCCAAGCGCCATATCCTGCACCAGGTCAGGCACCATATCCTGCCCCTGGTCAAGCCCCCTATCCTGCCCAGGGCCAAGCACCATACCAGGCACAGGGTCAGGTGCCATACCAGGCCCCAGGCCAGGCACCACACCCTGCGCAAGGTCATGGACAACCTCCAGCACCTCAGAATTATGGCAGTGTACCCAATCAAGGTATTTATCCTTTAAAATATTGGAATTTTTTTGTTTTTAAAGTTTTCAACAATTGTTGTATCAGCAATGTGTATAGATTCAGAGACAATCATCATTTTAGCTTACTTACGCATAAATCAGACACCTCCCTATGTGCACCCATATTAAGTTTCCTAATGCATTCACCACTCCTCTTCCTTCAATGTAATTTTAATATGTATGAACCCTCACATCAGCAGTTAGGAAGAATAAAAAATCGGAAGGATTAATTTTTTTTGCTGTAATGATTTCATTTTTCTACGATTACATTTTTCTCTTTTTTTTTTTAGGTGGCAGGGTGGTTAGACCAGGAACTGATCAGTTTAAATCTAGAGTAGAGATTCACATTGAGTGTAAGAACCTCTTGAACAAGGATTTGCTCTCCAAATCTGACCCATGTGCTGCACTGTACATGATGAGAGGAGGGAGGTGGGAAGAGGTGGGTTTCAACGGTCACTAACTGTGGCTAATTCATTCATAACCTATTTGTTCTAATTCTTTGGTTTATTACTGGTTGTTCTGTATGTCTTTTTTTTTTCTTTTTTCTTTTTTTCTTTTTTTTTTTTTTCTTTTTTTTTTTTTTTTTTTTATTTTTTTTATTTTTTTTTTTTTTTTTGTTTTTTTTTTTTTTTTTTTTTTTTTCTTTTTTCTTTTTTTTTTTTTTTTTTTTTTCTTTTTTTTTTTTAATAACTTGTAACTGAAGTAGAATTTTCAGTTAAATGTCTACAAATGAGCAGACCTCTCATGGTGTTGCTTGCTAGAGTATTAAATTAGGTAGTGTTTTTATTCCTACAGACAAGCACTCCTCTTACTCAGGGTGCTCCTTCTCCATAAATATATTAATCTGTATACCCTTTTTTCAGCTTGGTAGAACTGAGAATGTCATCAACAATCTCAACCCAAAGTTCTCACGCTGCTTTGTGGCCAACTACTTCTTTGAGGAGGTTCAGAAAGTTCTCATAGCAGTGTACGACATTGATAATATCACTCCGCAACTCACTGACGATGATTTCCTGGGCCAGCTGGAGACCACTCTTGGACAGGTAAAACATATTTTGGAAAATATTGATACAACGCACCAAAAATCCAAAAATCAAATTTTTGGTCAAATATTTTTTTAATAAAAATCAAATGGTGGTTCAAATATGTGGTATAATTTTTATGATAAAATGGTTTTCTTGAAGCTAATTTAAATGTTAATGGGGATATGTTTATTTTATAAAGCTACAAAATCTGTTTTTTTTTTGTTGAACACTTAAGTCAGTACTAAGGCATTTTACTGATTTAATATAAATGTATAATGGTAATGATTTTAATGCTTTAAAAAGATTAGGGTGAAATTTAAACTCAATGCTGCTATTGTTGTAATTGTCTTTCAGCTAGTGTCCAACACTCCATATACAGCCCCACTGATGTTGAAGAATGGAAGGAAGGCTGGTCAAGGAACTATTACAGTAAGTCCTAATGACATATAGTGTTAATTTTATCAAATTATTATAAATATTGATCTTTTCTTACTGTAATTCAGATGCATTTTCAATTTTTTTTTTAATGTATTCATATTTATTTTAACTTTTTGCTCCAGGTTAGAACTGAAGAGATCAAAGAGGGATGTGAAACTGCCCTACTAACATTTCGAGCCTCAAAGCTGGACAAAAAGGTAAAAATGCTTTGTGCAAAGGTAAAAAATCTTCTGTATCACTGGCTATTGGATATTTAATGTTCATTCAAATTTATTCCTAGTGCATTAGCTCACTGATTGGGGTACTAGGAAAAGTTGCAGGAGACATGTCTGCATCTCTAGTGTAGCTACTGAAACTTTCGTCGGGTGAAAAGAATTAGATGGGGGGTAGGGGGTTTGACAGCTTTGTATATTTTTAAAAATATTTACACTTCTAAAAATTATTATTTTTTTACAACTTTTGTTGTTTTTTTTAAATAATTTGATTGATAGATGCTTTCTCAAAATTTCAGCTAAATATGACAATATGTCAGTCTGTAGAGAAAAATCTGTTCAGATGAAAACTTTTTTTTTAAAGCTTCAGCCCTCAGAAACTTACAAAATAAACACTATCTCAATGAGAAATTATTTGTTCACTTTATTTTTATTATTAGTTAAATGGGCTTCATCTTTTTATGTTTTTTTTTTACAGGATTTCTTTGGGAAATCAGACCCTTACCTAGAATTTTTAAGAGCATCACCTGATGGGAGCTGGCAAGTTGTACATAGAACAGAAGTGAGTAGAATAAGTCTGAGATAGCTGTACATAGAACTAAGATGGGTGGAATATGTCTGGGATTGCTTCTTTCCAAAATTCAGTTTTACAAATATTGTTTCTTCTTAATTATTAGGTGATCAAGAACAACTTGAATCCAAGCTGGAGACCATTTGAACTGTCCTTACAGAGTTTATGTGGAGGAAATAAGCAACAAACTATCAAGGTTGGCATCACATGTCATGGGGCATTTAAAAAAAAATTATATATATATAGAGAAAGGAAGCAGAACAAATAAAGCTATAAGAGCTAAGTACTGCTACCAATGCTCTTTTTCTAACTAGTTTTGACAAAACTGGCTTCCTTTAGGTTGATTGCTATGACTGGGACAATGACGGCTCTCATGATTATATTGGAGGCTTCACAACAACCTTTGATGAGATGTTTAAAGCAGCTCAACAGGAAGTGAGTCATTAATCATTTAAATTTGTTTTATAGGAAATGCATTATTAACTGCAAAAAGTTAATTTTTGTATTCTACTGCATTTTTCTCATGGGGGGCATGGGATAATTTACTTCCTCACTGTCCTATTATTTGCATCAAATGACTTCAGTTCATCTTCCAACTTAAGTTTCTATTTTTCGTTTACTAAGCTGCTGTAGCAAGCTATTCAGAGTTTTTTTTTTTATGTTTACTGGCTAGGCAGCTAAGCTATTTGTCTTGGTCAGAACTCCAAGAACTGTTGGAAACCTTGCCAGTGTCGCTTAAAAATATTTAAATGTACTTACAACTGCCTCCAGATCTAACCTAATAATGGGAAATGAAATGGCTTAATTTAAAGAAAAATTAAAAGATTTGATCTCATCATTTGCAATACTCTAAAACATCTCTGTTTTTGTTGGGTTTTTTTTGCATTTTTAGTGGGGGGTTTTTTTCTTTCAATTTTTCCAATACCATATTTACAGAATTTAAATAGTGTTAGATCTCTAAATATTTTCCACTTTAAACTAACACGTGTTAAAAAATAAAAGTATCTTCCATATGGGCTTAATTGTAGAATTCTTCAGTTCTGTGCAATGAATTGTGTTTTTGTTGCTTATATTTTCCCTTGTCTTGTTTTTTTTTTTTTACTTGACTAGACTAAAAGATAATGTGACATAAACTTTCAGGTCTCTTGGCCCTGTGTAAATCAAGCAACGAAAGCCAAGAAGAGAAGTTACACCAACTCTGGCACTATATTCCTCACCTCTTGTAAAGTAAGTTAAAAAATTATGAACAATAATAATGTCCTTTTATTTTTAAACTATCATTGGGACTGTTGGATTTTGACAATAAAGGCATGCACAAAGAAAAAGAAAAGTTTTACTTCTATCTATAAAAAAGTAATACATTTTTATTCAATATGAAGTTAATTACTTTTTTATGTAATGCTCTTTGCAAATGGCAGTTCATAATTTCTATATGACATAGAATATAACATAAAATTGAAACTACTTTTAACTAGACATCATTTCTTTCATTTTCAGATTTTGAAGGAATATTCATTCCTAGATTTTATTACCAGTGGAATGCAAATAAATTTTACTGTAAGTGGTTTTCTCAGTTATTTTTAATGGGTAGGTTAATAATGCTTGAAAGTTGGTTTTTCTTCTAAAAAAGCACCTTAAATTCTCAGCATCTTCTTTTTTTAAAAAAAAAAAAAAAAGTCCTCATTGATTAAATATTTTATTTCCAGGTCGGCATAGATTTCACAGCCTCCAATGGCAACCCTGGCCAGTCTTCATCACTTCATTACATAAACCCATATCAACCCAATGAGTACATGGCCGCCATCAAGGCTGTTGGGGAGGTTTGCCAGGATTATGATACGTAAGTTTTACTTTTCATTCACAAGCTTTGTAACACCCTGTTGAAATTTTAAAGAGGACCGTGAGCTGATGTGGCTGGGAGCTACACTGACATGATTTTGTAAATTAACAAAACAAAGCATGTTTACTCCTTTTGAATTGCTGTGCTGGATATGGCATAGTAAATTTAATTGTGCAGCAGTATGCTTTCTTCTTTGTGATAGTCAATGAGTTTATTTTAAAAAATTAATTTTTTTTTACTAAATGGAATACAGACCATTAATATTATCATTGATTCACAGAGCTAGAGACATGACATGGTCAATGACCGTGAAGAATGAACTGCAGGAGAGTAATGAAAATTGTATTTTTGCAACCATCAAATTCAGATATTCTTTATTTATTTATTTCAGTGACAAGCTTTTCCCAGTTTTGGGGTTTGGCGCCCGCATACCACCTAAAATGGAAGTGTCCCATGAATTTGCCATAAACTTCAACCCTCAGAATCCATATTGTCAAGGTTATCTTCCTTCTGCCTTTTACTTCTTATTCTTTTACAAATACCGGTAGTATTTAACTGAATGTCAAAACTTCTTTTGATTAATTTCAATATCTGTGTCCAAAATTTGTTTTTAAATATCTTTTGGTGAATATTTTGTGTTAGGGCCACATCCTATATTGATGTGGGAAAAAATATATAAATATATATTTATATATGTATGTCTTTATTTATAGAAGCTGTGTGTAAATCAAAGGACAATAATTTCACAATTTGATCACATTGTCATGTTTGGCATGTTGTAATGGGATTTCAGTATAAACTTGTATATAACCTTGGTTATTATTCCATTAGGAATTGACGGCATCCTACAAGCATACTTCAACTGTATCCAACAAGTGCAGCTGTATGGGCCAACCAATGCTGCACCCATCATTTCCCATGTAGCAAGGTTTGCTGCCACAGCTCAGATGGAGGAGTCGTCAAAGGGGGCTCATGTTAGTAGCTTTACAAATTTTAATGTTAAGAGCTGTTTTGTTGCATCAAGTTCTCACAAAAATATATATGTTACGTCCAAAGCCCAAAATTCGAGCAGTTTTTGAAATGGCTGGCCATTTCGCTCTTTGGCCAAGAGTTGTAGCCAAGGTCTGATGTACCTGAAGAAATTACCTGTGTGTATACTACATTGGCTGGCCATTTCACGAACTGGTGGGAAATCCCTGGCCAAAATTCGATGTACTGATTCAAGACTATCTTGCAGTTGTCATGAATGTCAAGAGCTTTTTCTGCAATGTAGGAGATGAACATGGTGTTCTCATATGCCCATTTTGGTCTACATTAAAAACTGCTTACACTTCTTGAATCCATGAGCACAGAAAAAAAATCACTATGAACCTGGCCGATCGCCTCATGCCGTTTTGCAAACTGACTAGAAAAATAAATAAAAAATTGTACTAATGCTGGTACATTTACAGCGACATTGGCCAAGCTGCAAATATATTGTATATATATATATGCTTATATATATTTATATAGAGTAGAATTGCATTGGTAAATGTTTTAAAGCAGTAACTAAAGTAACTTTGTTTTTAAAATGGATTTTTAAATCTCTTGTGGTTAATGAACTATGAGGTGCAGAATTTGGATTATTTTGGATTGGATTTGTGATTGTGTTAAACAATAATTATTATTTTTTTTAACCTCACATATTTTGAAGAAAAAATTATTGTTCGAATGAATAGACAAAATTCTGGGGCATCATATCCAAATTTGCCTTTTAGCAAGGCACTGTATTGATGAAGTAGGGGTGGCATTTAAGTTATGTTGAGAACAGAGCCTCTAAGCTATTTTCTAAAAGACTTTATTAATGGACTTTAAATTGACATTGCTGATATTAGGATAAGGGCTTGTATGTTATTTGTATATAGTGTAAAATTTAATGGGTTAGAATCTGACCTTTATTTTGTCATCATCAATAGTTCTTCTATATTGGTATATTCAGTAATTGTATTCATAATTAAAAATCAAAAGACAAGGCTATAAAGTATCTGAAGTCATAATTTATGTGCTAGGCTATCATTTTCATTTGTTACATTGTAATGCTCTTGTAATACAAACAAAACATGTTTCACACCACAGTAATAAACATTACTTTACTTTATCAAGGTAAAAGTAAATGTGGTTCACACCACAGAAATGTACATCATTTTATCACGGTAAAAGTGGTAAAAGTAAATGATGTTAACACCACAAAAATGAACATTATTTTAACAAGGCAAAAGTAATCTTTAAATAATTCTCTAATCTTTGTGAACTTCTCTCCATTACCATCTTTTAACAATTATTGTGAGATATTCAATAACAGAGTTAAAGTTTGCTTACATACAGACTTTTAGAATAGTGTTTGGCCAGCTCTAATACATCTATGATTTAGTTGTTTCCAAAAATTGACTCATTTCTCTATTCAAAATAGGCCTACTTCATATTACTGATGTTGACGGATGGAGTTCTCAGCGACATGTCCAACACAAGAACTGCCATCGTAGAAGCTAGCAAACTCCCGATGTCCCTCATTATTGTGGGTGTTGGTCAGGCAGACTTCAAGGACATGGAAATACTAGATGGGGATAATGGTGTTTTAAGAGCAGCCAGTGGTGAACCAGCCAAACGAGATATTGTCCAGTTTGTACCATTTAGAGACTTCAGAAATGTAAGTATGAGTTCCTTCCCTTCTTTTAGAAAGCAAACAATAAATGTTACATTTGACGACCACAAACAACTACTTATTGTCATTTCTATTTTCCTTGTTTTAACTTTTGCTGTGAATCAATGGGGTTCAGTCATGCACTGATATTTTAGTTAATCAATTATTAAATTGAAAGAGCAGTTTTTCTGAATGTTTTTTTTTTTCTTTTTATATTACAATTTGTTATTTGCTTCTAAAAATATAGTTTTTTTATTGATACTGAAAAACAATATAATATTATATGGAGCAGGGAAATTGTTATATAGAGGAATATTGATGGAATGTAGATTTGAAGCTGAATGTTTAGCCTAGATTGACAAAAATTCAGTACAACTGCATCATTGTTACTTCATATGATAATCACTGTTGTGAAGAAGACTTTGTGTGTTATGAAAACAAAATGTATGCAAGAGTTCCCTCTGAACTGTGTTGTCATTTAGACTAAGGATGCACCGCTTTATTTATCACAAGCTGTGTGTGGAGCTAGCTGGAGAATTTTGCAGTCCAGAGGGTGAATTGCTTTAAAACAGAAGTGAAGCAGCATTGCAATTTTACTCATCTATTAATCCATGTTCAATTGCTTGCATTCAATGTCTGGTATTTTTTCCCTAATTTTTTCAGAGCAGTTCTGTTGAGCTGGCCAGACACGTCCTGGCAGAAGTCCCCAAGCAAGTCACAGATTATTACAAAATGAGGTGCATCCAGCCCATAAAGAAACCTACAGTGTCGTAAACCTGATGTTTCTTCACCAAGCTTATCAAATCGCTCATTTAAATTGTAATGCTAGCTCTCCAACTATTGGTTAGATGATGTACTACAATATATATTTAGCCAATTAGATATTTTATTTTTGAAATAGTAATCACTTAATATTTAGGATGATAACTTTCAATGGTATTTTTTTTCTTACCCTAAAAATGTTTTGGGGGACATAAATAAAATATTTATTAATACAGAAATCATTTAGCATAAAGATACAAATAAACTTAGGTGCTTTAAGCTCATGACAAGTCAAAATCAAGAATGTGTTTTTAATTTCCAGTGAACCCCTGCATCCTGTAGACTTGCATTATATGAACTCAAGAAAATGGGTTCACTCATCAAAGTTTATTCAATGGGAATGACAATCATTCCTGTTGATTTTAATAATTTTTGTTTGTTTATAATGTTGTATATAGTGCCTTTTACGTTTTTACTAATTTCCGATAGCTTAAGAGATCTTTTAAAGATTTTTTTACAGCCACCTCAGTCCACTTGTTGGACTCCGTTCATGTTAGAGCTAGAGGTCTCTGGGATTTCAGGTGCACAATTCGCACATTTATGGGGCGTGGGGTTTAAAAAAATAAATAAATTGTTCATACCTTTCAACACTGGGATTTTTAAATGTGTTCAATTAAAAAATTATCCTGTTTTCAGCCTATGGAAATACTAACAAAAAGAAATGCACAATAAATATTTGCAATTTACTTAACATTTCAGGAGATTTATTGCTTTAAGACCATCTCAGGGGACTTTGGAGACACTATGTGACAATACACTGTTGCATGACAACAGTTATTTTCTTTGTGTGTTAAATTAAGTTATTAAAGGTTGAAAGTGGAACTGGGAATCTCTTTGAGGTGTGATGAACTTTTCTAAACATTGTCATTGCTCAAATGTGCAGTGAAGTTTTCAGAAAAGGTAACTTTTTATATTAATTTCATGATTCAAATTTGTTAAAGCCAGGTGATTTAATAAAAAAAAACAATTAAATTAAGAACTTTTTTCATGCTTCTTCATTGCTTGTTTTAAAAATAATTCAGTATTCTTATATTTATTTGTTTATGTAGCTTTATTTTATGTAAAACTTTAAAAAATTCTATAATTTTTTTTTTCATTTGTTCAGTATTTTTTAGAAAATAAATGTTACTGTATCTACTATAAAAATACAAAAAACTGGTTATAAAAAGGTAAAGAACATGTCAAACTTATTAAGTATGTTTACTAAATGATACTTATTCCAACAGTTTGGTTTGTACCTTTGAATTTTGTAATAATTTCTTATCTCAAACAAATAGCACAATTATAATTTTTTATGTACAATTGGATGTACTGATCATGTGTACATAGGTTTAGCATAATTCTATTATTTGTACTATGTCTGCCTGTGATGCTTAAGTTGTAATTTTTTTTTCCCTTGGACATTATCAACATATGCCTTTACTTTAAACTGATTGAAAAAGCAACTATTATTTCATTGGTTTCAAATGGAAAAAATATTTCTTTTTAAAAATTTTATTATTGTCCATTTTCAAATTGACATTGTTATTTTTATAAGTTAATTAAATTGCTCTTGAGACACCCTATTCAAGATTAATTTCAATTTCAAATTTTTGAAAATTGAAAAAAAAAATTATTTTAGCCAAACTCTTACATTTAAATAATTATCAAATTTTGTTATCATATTTAAATTCTGTGATATGTAAACCAGCGTTTCCTGAATGCCGGATCACAACAGGCACCTGGCCAGTAAAGCATATTATGGGGTTGCCAAAAGAAGAGAGAAAGCTTGAAAACCTAGGTGATATATTTTAATCTGGGTTTTGTTTTACCCACCCACACCTCATCTGCTCATTTAGTTTAAGTTTAGGTGTCGAGAGAAAGATCATATTTTTTCTTTTGATTGTGTTTAATTTTAGGAGTGATAAATGTATCATAAAATCTCAGTACAGGTAGTAAACCAAACAATTTCCGCATACATGAAGCCACCATAAACTTTTCAAATTTTCAACAAGGCGTTCAATCTGAAAACCTTGTTGTAACGGCTTTTTAAGAAGTATCACTACTTGCTGAGGCTGGTTACCATCACACAATTGCAGAGACGTTAATTGTTCCATTACTTAAAATGTTAGCATCTGGAATGTGTGATAAGAACAGGAACACCAAGTGAATGTACTGATTACATATAAAATCAAAGGAACTGTCCCTAGAGCACTTAAAAAGAGTTCATCAGTTTAGCTTTCAATGTAACTTCAAATCTGACAAAGTGTCTCGCATTTAGTGAGAGTTGCTTTTTGAACACACAACTCTCGAAGAAATACTCCTGCAGAAAAAAAAATGATAATTTCCAATTTGATTAATAATTACAATAAAATTAGCATTGATTTGATACTTGTGAGTCAGAGAAGGGAAGGACCTGGCCCTTCTGCAGACATGTGACATGAAGGCAGCAGGACCCGAATGCATTGCATTGTAGCACGCACAGAGCTTTTGCTGTGAGAAAACCTTGAGCTATCCAAGAGCGTGCACAATTAATAAAACCTATACAATCCAATAAATTTAATTAAGAACATTGAGTCAATTTTACTGTTTGTTACAGCGTGCAATGAAAGACATCTCTGATGGAATACCATTGATGGATTTTTAGGTGTGTTGTGAAGAATGCCATGCTTTAGCAGATTAATGAGACACAGTTTTTGTAAATAAAACAATGTATGTTAAGCTTTAATTGTGATTACATGAAATACAAATCCAAAAGTTTCAGCAAATGCCTTCATGCTTTGATGTCCAAAAAAAACATAAGTATATGTATATCCTACTATACCTAAAAAACGAAAGAAAAGTTTTAGTAGAATACTTTTAGTTCTACTAAAAACTTAAAGCGTTCTACTAAAACTTTTCGATCACATTTCCTATGCCTTTTGTGGATAAACAAAACCAATTGGAAGTAGAAAAAGATAATTTTTTTTTCTCTGAACTTACATTTGAGCTCATCAAAAAAAAAGCATCACGCTCCTCTTTAAAAAATGATTTACCATGTTTTAGTTTAAATAACAAAACTTTTTGTAACAGGAAATGTGGTGTTTTTTAAAATTATATTAAAACTTATTTATATAATTAAATATTTAATGTGTTGTTTTTTTTCTTTGAAATGCTTTTAAACTGAGCTTAATCTTAATCCATAACTTTTTTTTGTCTACATGGTTTGTTCATGAAATTGGGGAATGTCTGACAAGAGCCTTTGCTTGGGCCTTGGATATTTATTAAAGCCCAAAGTTGTGATGCGGAGAAAATTTTAAACTATCAACTTTGAATCCAGGGGAGACAAAACCCAAAAGTGGCAGAGGGCCTACATGCGATGGTTCCGAGTCTGACATAGGTTGATTGTATGATATTTATCACCCTAGACAAATTTTGACAAGGGTTTTGATATGTGTAAACCTATTGACAATAATCTTCTAAATGAACCACCCAGTTCAGTTATATAGCGATATATATCATGAAGATTTAGTATAAACTTGTGTAGAGCTTTCCAGGAGAAGTTTAAAAAATGTTGGCCCATGTCAAGCAAAATTTCTTTCTGTCGAACTGATGCCATTCTATTTTTATCCGAAAAATTGATGTCTGTGCTGCTCAAATTCCCAAGTGTTTTCTTAAATCTGCCCCCGTGTCCTCTTTTTTTTATTGATATCTTTTTCATGTACTTATTGCAACGTCTTCCTCTGCCATTTCATTATCATCTTTTTTTATAAGAATCATTCTTGACATCAAAGGTAATGATATTGTTTACAAATGCCTACGCTAGGATTATCAAGATTTAATGAAGTTGTGATATATCAGTATCAGAGATAATTTGAAATTTGTTGCTTGTCTATATTCTTGTAAACAATTGTTTCTACACCTCAATATACATCTGTATTCACTTTATATTTTGTTCATTTTTACTTAATTCTTCATTATTTATCGCTGACCATAACCATTTTATTCAAGTTATAAAATAAAATACTTGTTTTTAACTGTTTTGATCCACTTCAAGCGTTACATTTTTACTATTACTAAGTCTTAACCAGTTTAAATGCCAGGCTTTGTATGATCTCCCATTTCCTGTTGTCCAACAGTTGGTAACCATTATAGTTATAGGATTATTCCTAGAAATGGAGAAACAGGTGTTGAGAAGTTAATTGTGTAAAAAAAAAAAAAAAAAAAAAGGTCTAAAAAAATATTGGTAAGTCAATTACCCTAATAACTCATATTATTTTTTTTTTTACAACCATAATTATCCTGCATTTTTATTTTCATAATTTTAACATAATCATTTCACAACAATGTAATTAAGACCAATTTTTTTCATTTTATTTGTTTTTAAAATTTGCAAAAGAAAGATTTGTTTACTTAAAACCATATAATACAATGAACAAGTAAAGTTAGAAAATGTCAGTGGAAACTAGCCACTTTTAATAATATTTAAATTTTAAAATGAAATGTACAAATAAGATAAAAAATTTACTGATACAGTTAAAATAATTTTTAAAATCTTTAATCCCCTATGGGCGTCAGAGCCCACATGTTGAGGACTGCTGCTGTACTCTGCTGAGTTGAAATTCTTGCAAAAACCAGGTTTGAAAAAAATTGTGTTTTCTTCCTCCATGCTGATACAAACAGACCTACAGTTTAACTTTTTAAAAAAATGGGACGTGACTTTGTGAATGTATAGGCCTAATATCAAAGAGGTTGGCAAACTGTCAACATGACATTGGTTTGAAAGAGCGTTTGTAAATAAATTGAAGTAACATGAATGAATCTGACAAATTATTTTTGTCACCTTCTGCATTAGTTTTTTTTTTTTGGTCCTACTGAGAAATGGACCTAGGCGTATTAATTAGGCTGGATGAGGTCTCGCGCACGGAAATAAAATGGAGTTAAAGGTGTCACTATGCTAAATGTTACGTTGCGATATCTAGCTTTGGCCAAAACACAAAGCAACAATATGAAAATAAACCTGGGGGGCAAAGGAGGTGACCATCAATCAATGTAATGTAAATTTATAGAACAGAAAAGTTACTTCAAATGCTTTTTACATCATTTGAGGGGTGCTTTTATATATTTGTTTAAGTTTAAGATGAAAAGTCTTTTGTTATACACTTTTTCTTAGGTTGCTCTCTCGCTTTATTAATTTGTGTGTTGTCATATTTTGCATCTCAATTTTGACCCATCCTTGAAACTTTTTACTTATTCCCCCCCCCCCTCCCCCTTTGCAGATATCTCAGGAACTGAAAGTGATAGGAACATCCTGTTTTCTTTACATCGTTTCCTTAGTTATGGTTACGCATTCCCAATAACAATGACAAAAAAAGTGTGGAGCACCCATGAACTCAATGTTCTTTGCAAATCACAAAGGCTTTCATGCAGCAGTATTGCTAATTTCATTCCAGTTGTCAAGATCACAATCGACATGAGCATACAACAGTAATGCAAGCCTGTTGTGAGAACTCTTAATTCAATGATTAAATAATCTTCAACTTAATCATAAAAATTGTGTCACATAACACTTGTTAGATGGGTGGATGGGACTCGTTAGCCTTGGATGGCAACTCATCTAAGAGAAGCAAAACTCTAAATTCTAACCAGGAGTCAGAATGATCAATAAATTGATCGTGGGCCCTCAAATAGAAGAAGAAGATAAGTGTGAGCAAGGTTGAAATAATTCTGATCTTGGAATTTGTATACCGCATCATACATAGTTTGATTTATGATTAAATCCTGCCACGCTTTTGAAACTGGAACAATGGCATGTCATACCCAGTGAAAGGTAACATTGCTTTGAAAATGTAGCTATCCTTATACAAAGACTAAGCCAAAAAATGTGATTAACATTACAAATTTTATTTGTATTTATTTGTAAATAGTAATCCATAGTTTCTATTTATTAACAAATACCATAAATAGAAATAAAATTACTTCATGTATTGCTAATTAGTTTCCAGTGTTTTCATCCGTTC